CCCAGCCCCTCCTGGATTTTTGGTAGTCCCTTCTCTTCCCCCGAGAAGAAGCCCTGCCCCACTTGAATGCCAGTCACACCCTCACTGCCAACTGTGCCAGGGTGGCCACCCCAGGGGGACCCGAAGAGCAGGGTCCTTGTCTTGGCTTTGCCGCTGCCCACAGGGAGCATGCTGGAGACAGGCAGATCTGAGTTCAAATCCAAGTTGGACCTCTTCCTCTCGCGTGACACCAGCCAAGGTGCCGTCTCCCTGTGCCTCGGTTTCTGAGTCTACGACGCAAAGGTACTAATGTCCACTTGGTGGGGCTGTTGTGGGGAATACATGCCAAGCGTGCAAGGAAGGTGCTCTCCAAGGTTAGCTCTGCTGAGATGGTTTCAAAAGCTCTGGTGATAAGGAAATCTCCGTAAGTCTCAGCTATTGATAATGATATCATTATAATCAGCATCACCCCTGTGGACACTGTGACTTTGAGCAAGTGATGTGACTTTGAGCAAGTGACTTCACCCTCTGTGCCCCTGTTACCTCACATGTGAAATGGGGAGGATAACTGTACGTACCTTGTAGGGTTCTGAGAACTAGAAAGACATGAGCACCTGGCATTGTGGTACAATTGAGCATAGAGCTAGGAGTTGAGGAAATGCCTGTCATGGTGCTTGGAAGCACAGAGCCCTGATTTAAAGCCTGGTTCTGCCTCCTGGAGCTGTCTGACCTTGAGAAACTCCTATCTCCTCTCTGGGCCTCAGTTTCCTCATCTGTAAGTTGGGGGTGATAATATTAAGAGTTCCACCTTCACGGGCTCTTGAGATAATTAAATGAACTATTGAATGTAAGGTTCTTAGCAAGATGCCTGGACGTAATCAGTGCTCTATGTGTGGTCCTTACTAAGATTTATTATTAAGTTCTCCTCTCTGCTGGGCGCAGTGGCTCACGCCCATAATCTCAGCACATTGGGAGGCCAAGGCAGGTGGATCACTTGAGGCCAGGAATTTGAGACCAGCCTGGCCAACATGGCAAAACCCGTCTCTACTAAAAATACAAAAAAAATTAGCCAGGCATCATGGTGCACGCCTATAATCCCAGCTACTCAGGAGGCTGAGGCAGGAGGATCACTTGAACCCAGGAGATGGAGGTTGCAGTGAGCTGAGATCACGCCACTACACTCCAGCCTGGGTGACAGGGTAAGACTTGGTCTCAAAAAAAATAATAATAATAAAATAAAATAAAAAAATCCGGGCACCGAGGCTCACACCTGTAATCCCAGCACTTTGGGAGGCTGAGGCGGGCAGATCACCTGAGGTTGGGAATTTGAGGCCAGCCTGGCCAACATGGTGAAACCCCATCTCTACTAACGATACAAAAAATCAGCTGGGGGTGGTGGCACGCACCTGTAATCCCAGCTACTCAGCGGCTGAGGCAGGAGAACCACTTGAACCCGGGAGGCAGAGGTTGTAGTGAGCCATTGCACTCCATGCCTGGGTGACAGGGCGAGACTCCATCTCAAAAAAAAAAAAAAAGTTCTCCTCTCCAGGCCTCAGTTTCCTCATTTATAAAATGAGAGCAATGATGTCTGAGACCGCGCTCAGCTCTCATTGTTCTGCAAGTCACTCTCCTTTTCACTTCGGCCCTGTTTGCTGGAGCCACATCCCCGCCTTCTCATCTGATTATGCCTGGCCACCTCTGGAGGCCACCTGTCTCCCCCACCCTCTCGGCAAGCCTGAGGGACCAGAGGCGCTGCCAGGCTGTCCTCAGCATCACCTGGGGATGAGCTATTAGAACATGCTTTCGAAAGGGTCAAATATGACTGAACAACAAAGCTACTTTTTTGGAGCTGCTATCATGTCTGGGGCCTGTGGGCTTATTTCTGAACTCTTGGAAATTGGTATTATTATCGCATTATAAGATAAAGAGGCTTTGAATGGTTCAACCATTTGCTTAAGGAGATGCTGGAAGTGACAAAGATGGAATCTGAATTCAAATAGTAATAATAGCAAACAACCGTAATAACAGGAGTTAACATTTGCCAGGGGGTGATATTACTCTTTTAAGTATTACCTCATTAAACAATCCCAGTGACCCATAGGGTGGATGTTATGATTCCCATTCTACAGATGGAGGAGCAAGACCGAGAGAGATGGAATGACTTGGCCAGTCACCAAGGTAGGAGGTGACAGAGCTGGCCTTGAACCTGAGCCTGCCTGGGACCAATGCCCAAGCCAGCTGTTTGACAGTCCTTCCCCACACCCCACAACCCTACAAGCATCAAAGGTCACCTGGCAGCCTCTCCCAGCCAGCCCCAAGTGCACCTTCTCACACTTCCAGGCTGGGGCTGACCCTGAAACAGGCTGCTGAAGGTGACCTTGGGAATCCCAGCTTAGCTCCCAAAGAGGGTTGCATGGGTTCCCTTAGAAAATGGATTCTTACCAGGAGGTTCCTTGGACTTCCTACGACTGGATGCAAATTTGTGAATGTGTGTGTGTGCATTCCAAAGGTGACAAACCACAGCTTGAGAAGTTTCTGATTCTGTGGAATGGGAGAACACGAGGGACGTCCCCAAAGTTTCTAGGTCTCCGCAACCTGCCTGTCCCTGCCTCTGTGGGACTTTAGCACCATCTTCCAGGAGGACTCACAGAGAAGAAAAGCAATAGGCCAAGGCAAGTTCAAACTGTGCCACCCTCCCCTAGCTGGACTGACTGCAAAGACGCATTTATTCCAGCTTGTGTCGGTATTGCCAGATTCCCAGGCCCTGCCAGAGGGGAGGCATGAGCCACAAATCCTTCCAGGCACTGATTTATGTAGCATTCACGCGGAATTCATTATACAAAGAATTTTATTCAATTAAACTTGAAATGCATCTGGATTCTTAAAGGTTCAGTAGTGATCACTGGGACAGGGCGATCATAAAACTGAATGGGCTGTCGAGGCAGCGGCAAGGGTGACATTGCCGCTGACGGGGGCTTCCGAACCAGGGACGTTTGTCATTGGGATGTGTTACAAGTTCGGGCTGTGGAAATTACTCAGTGAAAAATGCACATTAACAATAGCCATGAAATATCAGTTAAGGGAAACTAGGTTGAGAAATGAAGACAGCAGGATCTATCAGAGCCTGGCATTGTTCACCGCAGCCCAGGTAGTGATTAAAACGACTGTCAAGCGGCAGTGGGTGGGAGCCGAGGAGCACGGGGCTGTGAGTGACGAGGCCGCGTCCAGGGCCCACATCTTGGTACTGACTCCCCAGGACAACTCGGTTCCCCACCTAATGCCTCCTTCCAGGGCTGCTATGGGGTTCAAATGAGATAATGTCTGTGGAACACTTGGCTCAGGGCACTGCATGTAGCAAGCCCTTCCACAGTGCGGGCTGGTGTCACTGTTACTGCGGGCTTCTCTCCGAGGGAATAGCCAACTGCCAGCTCGTCTCTGGAAATGACACTAAATACCCCATTCCAGGGAGCCTGACCTGGAGGAGGGGGAGGCATTTTCAAGGGTGCAAAATGTAAGGAAGTGCCCACAATCCACAAACTCAGTGATCGAGTAATATTTGTGTGCAGTATTTTCCAAAACGAAATTATGAAAAAAATCTATGATAAGCAAGGAATCACGACTTTAAATAAAAGCAGGCTGCTGTGTGTTTCAAAACCCATGTTTCCGTGCAATGGGATGGATTGTTTCTGAGAGTTGGCAATGGTGTGCAAACACTGGCAGCGTGGGCTTCACAGTCATGTTTCTTGATTGTAGGGCTTTTATTAACTTTTCCCACCTGGTTCAAAATATGCGAGGATATTTGCTCAGCGTACAGATGGGTACGCGTCTTTCCTTTTGCTTTGGGCTCTTGATAGAGCTTTTGAAAGGCGCTGCAGAAGAGCAAATGTTTTAAATACCCCATCCTCCCAGCCCCCAAAGCAAGCTTGCTCCATTTTTCCCAGGTTGGTGGCACATGAGAGAAACACCTGCTGAGTGGTGGTGTCTGCCCTGCACCCGGGTGGTTTCTCAGAGAAGTGTTTGCTGGTGAACCAGGAGACAGATACAGAGGCAGGGGTCTGAGAATGCGACTGTTAACATCCGGCCTGTGACAGCCAGTCCTGGAAGGACAGGACTTGGCAACAGGCAAACGGCCTTGTTTCAAAGACTGTCACTTTAGGATGTTGTATTTACTCAAAGAGCTTTCCTTATCCTTTGGAGGCTGTGCTTCCCCATGGCTAGGCATGCAGGGCTGCTGTGTTATTATATATATGTATAGCATATATATTCCCCCACACTTTGATGGTGATGGGTGGCTCAGAGGTAACTAAACTTCCAAATATATATATATACACACGTATATTCCAGGAAGATTTTGAGGTGTAGACAGAATTGAGTGTTTGGCTGCAAGCTCTTGGAACACGCTCCCTGACCGAGCCTTAGTGATTGCGTGGTGAACCACCATTCACTTCGGAACACTCAAGCCTTTCCTGTTTTCAGGGCTCTTTTTTTTTTTTTTTGAGACAGAGTCTCGCTCTATCACCCAGGCTGGAGTGTAGTGTCACGATCTTGGCTCACTGCAGCCTCTGCCTCCTGGGTTCAAGTGATTCTCCTGCCTCAGCCTCCTGAATAGCTGGGATTACAGGTACCTGCCACCATGCCCAGCTAATTTTTTTTTTTTTTTTTGTATTTTTAGCAGAGATGGGGTTTTGCCATGTTGACCAGGCTGGTCTCAAACTCCTGACCTCAGGTGATCTGCCTGCCTCGGCCTCCCGAAGTCTGTTTTCAGCTCTGTTTTGCACACACTGAACACCGACTCCGTACCAAACCTGGTAGTGACTATGGGGGCAGTGAGGCGCTGAACAAAGCCACCTCCTGGAAGGCATGCACACACTCCTGGTCATCTGCACCTCACCCACCCTGCCCAAGGCTCGAGAGGACCACCACAGCCTCTCAGCAATGAAGGGACCCAGAAGACACAAATGAATATACCTGGCCCTCCCGCAAACTTTGCAGGCAAGGTGGTAAGAATGAAGGCAAAAATATGCACATGACTGAGAATGTAATGTTTGCTGACTTGCCAGCATGAAAGATGGCCTGAGTGACCAGCTGACCCGAGCCTCGCTCCGTGGCCCATGCTAAGCAGCCACTCAGTCAATACGTGATGGCTGAAAGGAGTTCGCCAGGCATTTCAGCCCTGAAACTCAACAAGAGTCTGTCCTTCCAAAGTCATTTCCTGCAATTAGCAGCCTGCAGTCTTCAGGTTCTTGGGGCTGCCTCTTCTGCCCTTCATAAATATCGCCTTTCCCAAGGACACTGCTGGCACTGGCAAGTGTCGTTTCATAGCAGGAGGGAGGAGCGGTGACAGCTGAAATAAATACAGCCGTGCATGGATCTCAGAGGCATAAGCCAGCCAAGTGCAACATCAGAGAAATCAGTCTGGTGGATGTCAGCGTCACTGGAAACTGACAACCTCATTTTCTTAAGCTGAAGATGCTGCACCGCAGACCCTCGACTCAGTCCAACTGGACAGGGAATGTTCACCTTCAAGCGGTAGTGTTGTTCTCAGCAGGGTCTCCACCCCTTTCAGAGGGGGTCCTCTAAGCTGCACCCCCACCACACACACTTCAATCTAAGCCAGGAGTTTCTGAGCCTCGCCTGTCAATCTGCAGCTATCCTTCCCCCACACTTTGGCGGTGATGGGTGGCTCAGAGGTAACTAAACTTCCAAATCCTGTCTGCCTTCCCCGTTACAAATGTGACATTTAAAGCCCCTCTGGCACAGGTAAATCACAATTACATTTTCAAGGGCCTCTGGTCCCATTCCAAATCTCTGAACAATCTGAGCTGGCAGTGGGAGGACACACACACACACACACACACACACACACACACTCTCCAAATCTCTGAACAATCTGAGCTGGCAGTGGGAGGACACACACACACACACACACACACACACACACACACACACTCCAAATCTCTGAACAATCTGAGCTGGCAGTGGGAGGACACACACACACACACACACACACACACACGGCTCCAGCCTTTCTCACTTTTATTCTTTTTCCGCACACACACACACACACACACACACACACACACACACACACACACACAGCTCCAGCCTTTCTCACTTTTATTCTTTTTCCGCACAGCTCCTTCTCATTGCAGCAATCACTTTACCTGTCTTTCCTGCAATGCCAATTCATTCCCACATCCCTCCAAGACCCAGGAGAGCTTGGGGAAGCAGGGTCAGGGACAGAATCCCCAAAGGGCCACAGTCCCTTGAGGAAGGTGGCAGGAGGTGTGGAGCAAAGCAGAGCTGGGACGAAAGGCTGCTTTCAGTCTCTCTGGGTGAGCTCTTCAGGAACCAGGACCCCAGAAGGGCAAGCTCCTCTCTCCATGACCATTGCCACGGGGGGATCCTCCAAGCTCCCACTTTCTGTGATTTCAGCGTGCCTCAGACTTGGCTGATGGGTCATTTTTCTTGTATATTTTCTCTTGATTCCCCTCCTTCATGGCTGCATATCTGGCTAGTGTGAAGAGATAGTCACTGAGTCTGGAGGGGCAGAGAGAGAGAAGCAAACAGAGTGGTTTGAAATGAGAGATCAATGCTAACTGGGTCTTCCCATATCTGCCTACAAGGAGGAGATATAAATGACGCACTCTGGGCACACCGTGCAGGGAGGGCGGGGGCCCACCACCTTGCACTTGATGGATGGCATGCGAGGCCAGCTGCTGTGAATGCCAAGGACTCTACTCCAGTGTCAAGGCTGGGGCCATTCCTGCAGGATGAGGCTATTGCCCCAGCCCTACCCCATGGGGCAGATGACTTTGGACTCCTCTCTGAGCTGGTTTCTGCACTTTTGAGTGATCAGGGCTCATGTGCGTGATCAGTTTGGGTGTTTCCCAAACTACAGTGTGCACAGGCATCACCGGGGGATCTAAGCAACGTGCAGATTCTGATTCGGGAGGGCTGGGCCAGGCCCGGGACTCTGTAGGTCTAGTTCCCATCCTGGGTGATGGTGACACTGCTGGACTAGGCCCTACTGACATTCTGGATCATTCTCTGTGTTCGGGGCTGTCCTGTGCATCCTGTGCAATGTAGGATGCTGACAGCACCTTTGGTGCCCACCCGCCAGATGCCAGTGGCACCCCTGAACCCAGTGTGACAACCGGTAATGCCTCCAAACATTGCCAAAGGTACCAGGTGAGCAGCACAGGCTGGGGCACTCTAGAGACCAGAGCCCAGTCCCTTTCCCGCCTCCTCCTTTGAGCCAACAGCAGTGGGCCATCTGTGCATGAGGCCTTCTGCAGGGGCAGCAATGGAGGGAACTAGAGGACAACGCCATGGGCCCCACAAGGCACTTATGCTGTCAGCTCTTCTGCCTCCTGCTGTCCGCATCTTTTGCTGTTTCATTCCCAGCACTGGGCACCACGTTCCTCCCTCTCTCTCTGCTCCAGTCTTGCCCTCAGAGGCCAGCTCCACACCACGTCCTCCTGAGCCCTCCCCTGACTCAGGCGCCCTGAGCCCCACAGCTGGCTCTCAGGGACAGCGAAGGGGAGGTGGTTCGGGGTATTTTACCTCTGGGCTGCGTGCTCCTGGAGGGCAGCCGCGTACCTGTTGCTTGTTGGCTCTGTGAAGCCTCACTGAAGAGATGAAATGGCCTGTCCCGTGCAATGCTATGGGACCGCAAGGGTCCCCCCAGGGTTGCTGCTTTGAAGGTGAAATGGACCTGCTCCTCACTCCCGGTGAAACCCCACTCCCAGAAGGAAAGGAGCTGCTCAGGACCTGTCGAAGCCAGGCCATGTCCGTGGGAGGAGTGGCCAGTCAGGGCCCTGAGGTCACTTTCTAGACACCCAGGACAGCTCCTGGGGTGCAGACCCACTCCCCCAGCTCTCTACCTGCCCCCAGGCTCTGGCCTTGCTCACACTGGTGCCACAGGAGCCAGGGCTGGGGCAGGAACCAGCAGAGCAGGCGTTGGGCCAGGTGTGGCTCCAGCCTCATGGGCCGGCAGCAAGGCAGAGGAAGCCCTCCCTGGGCTAGCCTGGCTCACTGGGGCCTGCACGGGGGGCCCCTGAGCTCAGCTTGGCCCGGCTCTCTTTTGTTGGTTCACACTGCCCCAGGCCCTCTCGGGGAGAGGAAACTGGCTGAGAGAGGGCCTGAAGCCTGGCTCCCTGGTCGGCCACCACCGAGAGGCCTTCCCTGAGCACCCAGCCTCTAAGAACGCCCTTCGCTCCCGCAAGGCCACTTTGTACATAAGTTTTTCTTCCTGGTTTTTGCAGCAGCCTCTCCCAATAAGATGTGAATCTTCTCGGGACAGGCACAGTGTCCACCTTGTTCGCCACTGCCTCTCCTGTGCCTGCCGTGGTGCCTGGCACACAGCAGACGTTCATAAACACTAAGGGAATGAAGGAGGGGGTGTGGGAACACTGCACCACTGCTACTTCCCACAGACGAGCCTCGGCTTTCAGAGAGGGACCCCCAGGTTCCACGCGAGTACCTGTTTAAGAACTTGGCCACGTTCGCATCGGTCTCTCCCATCTGGACAAGAGGCACCACGCTAGAAAGGGAGAAGACACTGAGTCATGTGACATTATGGGGCTTAACAGGCTCTGACCTGGGGCCTAAACCTTGAGCAGCATTTCACATCCCACTACCGCTCAACCTGAGCCTGCACGAGCTCGGCCAGCACTGGAGATGACAAATCCGTCACAGGTGGGTTTAAACAGGCCATCAGCCCCCTTTCCACAGGCACATCGCAGGAGGGCCTGGCCAAGGAGGACTAGAGCACAGCTGGGGAGCTGAGGGAGCCGCCTGGCCTACACCACACCCCGGCCAGTCAGCCAGCTTTTGTACCATTAGACCTGAGTCTGGGTGGGGTGAAGTTGGGGTGGTCAGCCTCCAGCCTTCAAAGGAAGTGGGGGCCTGACCCTTAATTCCCAATGGGCTAAACTCTAAGCCCCTTGTACATCATGCTTGTACATCATGACTTAGAACAACTTCACAGGGGAGAAAAAGACCCAGGCAGACCAAGCTCCTGATTCCACAGGATTCTGGATTCCTAGGGTCCATGCCCGTCTATGTGCAGATACATTAGACACTGGACAGCCATCTGCTGGGCACCAGTGTGGTGGCGGGCCCTTGCTGAGCCTTTCCCAGGTATCACCCTGTGGCATACACTTTGTTGGCAGGCCAGCCACCTAAAGCCCAGCCTCAGGGTTCTCATCCCCACCCAAAGCCATGCACCTGGCTAGCGGCCCAGCAGGGTGTGCGTCCAGGCCTGTCAGAGTTCCAGGCTGTCTCTAATGGGCACCGCACGCTCAGCGAGCAGCTTCTTCACCCGAGATGCCCCGGGCGCGCGTTCCCACCTCAGGACGATCTGCACCTGGCCACTGCCACGGCTGCGTAACTCTGCTGCACAGAGGGCCTGTCAGCTGCTCTATGCCTGTGTTAGATCTTTGGGTTGTTTCCAGTTTCTTGCTATTATGAGCACTGCTGATGGATGGCTTTGTACAAATAACATTTTTTTTTCTTTTGAAGCCAAAGCTTGCTCTGTTACAGGAGCTATTTGGGCCCAAGAGCCTTTCATAAAGAACAAAACCTTAGTGATGTGGGACTGTAGAAGAGCTCATGCTTGGCCCAGACAGACGTGGACTCCAATCTGGATTCTGCTACCATTTGGGGGACTGTGGCCACGGTGTCATTTCTCTGAGCCACAGCTTCCTGACTCCTGCAAAGCGGAGGCCACACCACCTCTCTCCCAGGGCTATCAACAAGGAGTAAATGAAATTATGAACGCAAAGTACCTGTCCATTGGATCAAAGTAGGGCTTGCTTTCTCTTCTCTGTAAAAGCAGGCTGGCAGCCTGGTCTGAGTGGTGTAGATAGAGACTTTGCTCATTTCCTTCTACAGATTCCTTGAAAAGGCTGTCAGTAGCTTTGGGGTGGTGGTGGCTAGTCTGCTGACAGCGTCCACCTGGGCTCCCCACAGCCGTGCAGGCCTTTCAGGGGCCTTATGCACCCAGAGGCCAGCAGGATCCTTTCATGTCTACCCGTCCCAACATGGCTGGGAACCCAGCAATAACTTCCTGTTGTTCTCAGAACACAGGGCTCACAGCAAGGTGCAATTGTGTTGTCTGATAGTCCATTTGGTCACGTGTCACTGTCTCCACTCCACAACACAGTGCTCTGAGGACAGGGACTTGGTCTGTCCTGGTCCCCGTCTGGCACAGTGGAAGGGCCCAGACAGGGTCTGTTGATGTGTGGCCGGATGGCTCAGAGATGGCCCTGCTGTGCCTGCCTCCTGCCCGCGGTGCAGAGGCCCCTCTCCCTCTCCCCCTCCCCCTTCCCCTTGTTCCTCTCCCTTTCCCTTGGGCCCTCTTACCGTCTCTCAGCCCGGCGGCACACGGCCCGGCAGAAATGCAGTGCTGAGCTGATCTTGCCTCCCGACTGAAAGCAGAAAGGGACATTGCCTGAGCAGGGTGGGAAAGGTGTGCCCACTGCAGACAGCAGCTCCTCTGAAGTCCAGCCCTGCCCCCCAAACCAGGAAGCATTCTGCCTCCAGGAGCCCTGCCAGGGCACACCCACTGGGCACCCTGCTCCAGAGTGGGCAGGGCTGGAAGGGACCGGTGAGGACCTGGAGGGACTTGGGGAAACTGGAGGACAGCGTCTGTCACTGTGAACAGAGGGACTTATTCAGAGCCCATGTGTGTCTGTCACTGCAACTGCCTGCAACCACCCCGTTAAGCCTGCCCAGTACCTACAGGCAGGATGAAGGCCGTGAGTGGTGCGAGCTGGCAGGTATACTTGTCGATCCACTGCTCCAGCTCCAGGATGGGCCCCGACTCGAACGTGGTGTACTCTGAGGAGCCAAGGAGCAGAGGGAACTACCATGAGGCCATCACCCACCAGACTATGGCGGGAACCGCCCCCGCTGCCCTTCCACCTTGCTGTCCCGCAGACTGCTTCCACTGGCTCAGAAGGTACTTTCCCTCCCAGGGGCTACAAGCAAGGCTGACTGGCCCACCTGTGGGTCCCTGGGGGCCTGGGCTCCCAGATGGTAACCCCTAGGAGAGTCCCCTGACCCTAGGGCTCACAGGAGGTTGAGAATTACTTAAGTGAGCCTCCCGGGCCGAGGAGCGCGGTGTCGCCAGAGCCGAGCCGACGTCCTGCAATGTGCACTGGATCTGGGAGGCAACAGAAGGTGACAGTCAAGATCTATTTGGGATGGGATGGACAGAGAGAATGTGGTTCCATGTGCAGAGGCGCCACCTAACACGCCGGCAAAGCCTGTGCCAGCTAGCTCGTGAAGGGCTGATATGGTTTGGCACTGTGTCCCCACCCAAATCTCATGCTAAATTGTGATCCCCAGAGTTGGAGGTGGGGCCTGGTGGGAGGTGATTGGATCATTGGGGTGGTTTTGAATGGTTTAGCACCAGTCCCCTAGTGCTGTCTTGTGATAGAGTTCTCCCAAGATGTGGTTTGAAAGTGTGTAGCATCTCCCCCTTCACTCTCTCTCCTGTCAGCCATGTGAAGATGCACCTGCTTCCCCCTTGCCTTCCGCCATGACTGTAGGTTTCCGGAGGCCTCCCCAGAAGCAGAAGCCTGTACAGCCCGCAGAATCATGTGCAGATTAAACTTCTTTTCTTTATAAATTATCCAGTCTCAGGTAGTTCTTTATAGCAGTGAGAGAACGGACTCATACAGGCTGTCAGACCTTGAACTGGCTGACATTTGAAGGCAAACTCTGAACCTTCAGCACAACATCTTTGTTGGACACCCAGCCCTGCTGAGGGGGACCTGCTGTGGCTCTTTTGCAGTCTGAGGGAGGAAAAGGCTTGTGTGGGGGCAGCAGCCGGGTTAAGCAGATGATGCTCATCACACACCCAGGGACAGTTAAGAGGAAACGTCTAGGCTCTGCCCACGTCTCCTGTGCGCCTAAGCCCTATGAGGTTTTCTTCTTTTCTCAACATTTGACAGCTGGGCCAAGAGATCAAATTTGACAGTGCTTTCTCAACTCTAAAGGACAAGGAGCTTGGAGAATGTAGTCAGCCAAGGCGTTTGGGGGTTCCGGGAGCAGGAAGCCTGGCTGGGTGAGGCCTGTGCTCTGTCCAGGTAGGGGGTAGGTTTGCTTGGAACAGAAGTGGTCTGTTGGGGTCTGCTGCAAGGGCTCCAGGCCCCTGCATGACAAAGGTCCAACAGCTCCCACGCATGTGAAAACCACAAGTACCACCTCTGACTTTGTGCCCAGCCAGGGTCCACTCGAGCTGGATGGTGGGCTACCAGGAAGGTGAAGGTCTGCGACCTCTGACCTCTTCTAAGATGGCCACTGTGACAGCATTCAAGAAGCAGGCCATGGTGTGTAAGAGCAGACGCTGCCCATCCAGCACTGGGCTGGAACCTTCCTAGGGCTTCTGACCAGCAGACCTTGGGCAAGCTTGGGGTCCCTGTGCTTCCACAGTCAAAGCGGGAGTGGTAACACTACCCACTTGGTTGGCCAAGTGCAGCGTGTACCCCAGGGGCTGGACTGGCACCAGTTTGGGAATCAGATTCCCGCTCCACTGATGCCTGGCTGTGGGGGCTGGGCAAGTCAGCCTTTCCGAGGCTCAGTTTGGCTCCCCATAAATTGTGGACATTAACTTCCACCTCACAGGCATCTGTGAGGGTGAAATGGGTGATACGAGGAGAGCCATGGCATTGCTGCCCGACCTCATCCACAGGCCCTGCGAGCAGCTACCAGGCCAGGTGGGGCTCCCAGGTGAATAAGACACAGTCCCCGCCCTTACAGTGCCAAGGCTGGGTGGGAGGCAGATGGGTGAACAGGTTAACTCCCCTTGTGATTCCTGTGGTTAGAGGATGTGGAAACCTATGAGCGGTGCCTAACCCAGCTGGAGGTGAGGTGGCCAGGGAAGGCCCTGGAGGAGGTGACATGGCAGCTGCGACCCAACGCATACAGCAGACAGAAATGACCGCTGCTACCGCGGCTCCTCAGGAGGTTGAAAGCCTTCCTCCACCACACTGAATGTTCTGGTGGCTGAGGCTTCCCATCCTCCTGCAGCCACGGCCTGTGGCAGCCCCACCTACTCCCCTCTGTCTGTTCCCAGGGGCCTGAGCAGGCTCCAGCCTGGGCTTCAGAACAGAAGTGGGAAGGGCTGCCCCTGCGGGGAGTGGTTTCTGGGGATCTGGGTCTGTGTGGAGGTGTAAAGTGCGGCACCCTGGGCATTCTCAGGTGGCGACCCTGCCTCCGTGCTTGAAGTTCGCTGTGTGGGTCAGAGGCCCCCTCTTTCTTAGGGAACAGAACAGTGACACTGTGACACGTGAGTCCCACTGGCTGAGGGCTCACTGCAGCTGGGCCTCTCCAGGTTCCCTCTGCATCAGGCACGAGCGAGGCACTTCACACCGGCTTTCTCAGCCTTGGTGCTATTGCCATTCACGGCCGGGTCATTTTTTGTTGATGGGGGCTGTCCCGTGCATTGCAGGATATTTATATGCCAGCAACACCCCCACCCCAGATGCGACAACTAAAAAAGTCTTCAGATATTGCTCAGCAGGCCCTGAGGGGCAGAATGGCCCTGGGTTGAGAACCGTTCCATTTTAAATTCCCTCATTTAGTGCAATCCTCACCTCTCACCTGTGAAGGAAGATTATATGTCTCCAATCGTTTGTTTTGGAGACAGAGGTGTTTTTTTTTTTTAAGACAGGATCCCACTCTGTTGCCCAGGCTAGAGTGCAGTGGTGTAATCACAGCTCCCTGCAGCCTCAACCTCTAAGACTCAAGCGATTCTCCCACTCAGCCTTGTAAGTTGCTGGGACTATGGGTGCATGCCACCATACCTGGCTAATTTTTTTTTTTTTTTGTAGAGACAGGGTCTCCCTAAGTTGACCAGGCTGGTCTTGAACTCCTGGCTTGAAGTGATCCTCCCACTTTGGCCTCCCAAAGTGCCGGGATTACAAGCTTGATTGAACCATGGTGCTCGACCTGAGACAGGGTCTCAATCTGTTGCCCAGGTAGGAGTGTAGTGGCATGATCACAGCTCACTGCAGCCTTGATCTCCTGGGCTCAAGAGATCCTCCTACCTCAGCTTCCTGAGTAGCTGAGGCTATAGGCATTCACCACCACGCCTGGCTAATTTTCAAATATTTTGTAGAATTGGGGTCTTACTGTGCTACCCAGGCTCCTGGCCTCAAGTGATCTTCCTGCCTCAGTCTCCCAAGCAGCTGAGATGGCAGGTGTGAGCCACCACACCTGGCCTGTCCCTATTTCACAGATGAAGAAACGGAGCTCACGGAGGGAGAATGACTAGCCCCAGGTGACACAAAGAGGAACTGATGGCTGGATGCTGAGTCCCGTGATGGCCACCAGGGATGAAGATTCCCAGCTTGGGTAAGACGGTGTTACTCACTTTCTGAAGCTCTTCAGCAAATATGTGGCCCTTTTCTGTGACTAATTCCACAGCAAACCTATGAAGGAAAAGGAAAAAGCGTTCGCCTGTAATGTAATGTCCCTAGGCCCTGTCTTGCCGTAAACAATAGATTCTCAGGTGGTGGGCCATTTAGTTAATTTAGATATAATAAACACATTATTTTTCTTGCTGACAATAAGAACATTATAGCCTTCCACTTGGGGGGTTGGTAGTATTTGTTTCTTGAAATGCCTTTTCGGATACTCATTATTTCCAGTCAATAATTCCTTTTGAACAACTATTCTGACCAGGCCCACGAGAGTCTGGTGAACAGAAGCTGAGCCAGGCTCTGCCCAGCAAGCTGGTGACAGGGTGAGCAGTGACAGTCTCAAGTGATGGATCCTGAGCTCTGACCCGTGGCCCTGTGGTTATAGGTGAGTGGGAATCAGACAGACCCAGGTGCAAATTCTGCACCGCTGCTGAGTGTCTCTGGGACTTCAGGCAAAGCTTATACCTTCATGTTCAGGAGTGTGATATTCAGGAGTGTGATAGGTAATCAGATTAGATATACTCCTGAATGTGAAGGTGCAAACTGAGATCAGTGCTCTGAAGAAAAGGGCAACAGAAGCCTAATCTGACCTTAGCTAGAGAGGCAGGGAGGGCTTCCTGGAGGAAGTGATGCTGGAGGGGAGACTTTGAAGGCTGGGGAGGACTTCCCTCGTAAGGCAGGGAAAGCAAACTGCCCCCGACACAGGTCAGGACCCTGGCTCTGCCTCCCTCAGAACCCTGCACTTCCCTCCTGCACCAGTCAGTGCCCCAGCAGCAGACAGTGGTGCATTGCAGGGATTCCTGGAGGAGGGCTTTGGGAAGGGACAATTCACAGAGGTGTGGGCAGAGTTTCAGGCAAATGCAGGAGCCTGAAGGCAAGGGTCAGGGAAGGTGCAACTCACCCTGGAGGGAGCTGGATTCTGGAGTCACTCAGCAGGGAGGGAGGGAGGGAGGGAGCCCAGCTGCCACCAGAACCATGCACCGCTGGGGAACGGGGTCACACACACTCCTGATCTCTCTGCACTCTCTCCCCCATCACCTGCTGGTGCCTCCCACTGGCTGGACCCACCTGAATGCCAGAAGACCAAGGAATCAAGGTGGCACAGCCACCAGGTGATAAGGTCAGCCTCCCATGCATAAAGAGAAGGTGAAGAGAAGGGATTTGAATGGGCCAATGGAGAATATCCAGCCCATCTTCCTGGCACATCTTACAGTTAGAACTAAACACACCAGTGTGATTCCCACCTGGTATGTGTCTTCCCTCTGGACCAAAGGGAAGGGCCGTGCAGGCTGGGACACAGTCTGTCTCCATCATAGCGGATGCCTCATGCCTGCCTCACAGGAGGTGTGCAGAAGTATCTGCTTGCCGAGGGACGCTCCGTGACCAGGCCAGTGGCAGGCCCCCACTGGGCGCTTGCCCCAAGCCTGCTCCCACGCGTGTAGCTGCCCGGTGAGTGCTGCCTGCTCCCTGCACTCTGAGGCTCAGGAAGGTGGGGCTGAGGTTCTCTGTTGAGCAGCGCCTTGCAGCAGATGCTTGGCCAATATCTGACCAAGGAAGAATCCACAACTGAGATTTCCCCGACCTGCTGCTCCTCCTCAACTGAGAGATGATGGCTCGTGATTTAGAGCTCATTAGAATAGCTGACGCGAGAACTGGCCTTTTCTCCCTTTGCCCACTTGGTCTTGCATCTGCCCCCTTCTGGACCCCCTCCCACACACACACCAAGGGGTTTGTTTGCCTTCTCTACCCAGCTGGCTGACTATCTATACCTCCCATTATCTGTCCCGAAAATCTCACCTAGCCAGGCCCGCCATGGAGAAATGGTAGCCAGGAACAGGTAAGTGTTAAGAACAGTAATAATGAGGGGACTTGCTTGAACTTGGGAGGCAGAGGTTGCAATGAGCTGAGATCGTGCCATTGCACTCCAGCATGGGCAACAAGAGTGAAACTCCATCTCAAAAAAAAAAAAAGAATGATAATAGCTAACATTGCTATTACTTATGCTAGGCACTGTCCTCAGGGTGAAACGTGGAATCATCTCATTTAAGCCCCACAAGAACACAGTGAGACAGGAATTATCATGATGATTACCTGACAGAACAGTAAACTGAGGCTCACATTGATCTGCCTGACGTCCCAGAGATGATCTGCAGCGGTGCTGAATCTGTAGCTGGGTCTATCTGGCTCCCACACACCTACAGCCCACAGGCCCAGAGTCAGATACCAGGATCCAGCACTTGAGACTGTTGCTGCTCCCCCTGTCACCAGCTTGCAGGGCACGCTGGGCAGACTGTGCTCCTGCTTGCAAATATTTGCTGCCCCTCCCACCCCGCTGATGTCAGGCACGTGCACATGCAGTCTCTGGCCACTGAAATGTGAGTAAATGGAAGGCATCGCTCCCAAGAAAGGTTTGTCTTTTGGAGACAGAGTTGTACTCTCGCCCAGACTGGAGTGTAGTGGCACGATCATGGCTCAATGCAGGGCACGATCATGGCTCAATGCAGGGCACGATCATGGCTCAATGCGGCCTCAACCTCTCAGACTCAAGTGATCCTCCTGCCTCAGCTTTCTGAGTAGCTGGGACTACAGGTGTGCACCACCACGCCTGGCTAATTTTTTAATTTTTCTTTTTAGTAAAGACGAGGTCTTGCTATGTTGCTCAAGCTGGTCTCAAACTCCTGAGCTCAAGTGACTCTCCCACCTCGGCCTCCCAAAGCACTGGGATTAGACCTGTGAGCCACTGCTCACACTTTTTTTTTTTTCAACTTTTATTTACCAACAAAGTTGAGTCTCCATAAAGACTGTGAGAAACTGCCAATGTCGACTATACTTCAAGTCATCATGGCGGGGTAGTGGGAAGAGTTTTCAATCGGCAATAATCACACCTTGGATAAACCTCGCTGGCGACAACGCCGCCACTGCACAATCCCTTGACAGCCTCAGGAGCCACTGTGAGCTTCACCATGACCTCTTTTCCCTCTGCCACAATGACTGATAATCGCCCCAGGCAGCAGCTGTCCTAGCAGCCTGGGTCCCAGAGTGAAGGCCACATGGAGCCATAGCACATCCACCCTGTGATGGGGGTGAAGTGGGAGCAGCCAGTCCACCTTTGGTGTCCTAAGCCAGGAGATTTGGGGGTTGTCTGTGACCACAGCATGACCTGCCCATCCTGACCTGGCCCATCCTTGAGTCCACCTTCTATACTTTGGCTTATGTAAAAAACAACATTCACAAAAGGGATCACATTGGATGTACTGCGCATTATACTAACTCACCTCTTTCACTCAATATACTAACCTCAGTGGCACACACAGGCTCACCTGAAAAGTGAGGGATGAGAGGGAGGCAGCTTCACATGGCATGGGCCAGAGGCCATGCAGGCACCGGCAGGGCCAGAAGGGAAAGGAGTCTGCAGCCCTGCAGCCTTGTGGAGCTGCCCAGCCTGTGCTTCAGCGCTGAGGAAAGTTCAGTAAGGGCTGACAACCTCCGAGGCAGCTGTCCAGCACACGTGGGAGCTTCACATTCATTACGTTTACCCATACTCAACTCAAATGCAACCTCAAGGCCAATCCTGTTCTTCTTACCCAATAGCTGAACTTAATTCATCTGTAGTTCCCACGGCTTCAAACACTTGGTCGTCTTTGGGTCTCCTTTCTCCTGTGAAGGTGCTAGAAAACCCTGTGGAAAAAAATGTTTAGCCACCCAAATTAAGATTCTGTTTTCCTGATATGCTGGTTTTTTTTTTGTTTGTTTGTTTTAACTTTCAAGTTTCTAAAGAACTTTCTCTCTCTTTTTTGAACTGTCGCTCTGTCATCCAGGCTGGAGTATAGCAGCGTGATCTTGGCTCACTGAAACCTCTGCCCCCCAGGTTCAAGTGATTCTCGTGCCTCAGTCTCCCAAGTAGCTGGGATTACAAGTGTGTACCAGCATGCCCGGTTAATTTTTGTATTTTTAGTAAAGACTGGTTTTCGCCATGTTGGCCAGGCTAGTCTTGAACTCCTGGCCTTAAGTGATTCACCTGCCTCAGCCTCCCAAAGTGCTGAGATTACAGGCATGAGCCACCGCACCACCCCTTAAAGAACTTTCAACCTGAAGTATAACATATACACAGAAAAGTACTCAAATCATAAGTGTGCAAGTTGGTGAATTACTAACTGAATATACCTCTGTGATCAGAACCTAGCTTCATAAACAGAACATGACCAACACCCTGAAAGCCCCCATGTACCCCCTTTTAGTTGCCACTCCCCAAGGGTTAGCCACTATCCTCACTTCTTTCCTGATGTGCTTTTATTTTAAACTTAAGAATCATACACTAGCCATCCTGATAAAGAAATAAAACATGTTACATATTTTATATCATATATACATTACCATTATATTTCACAGGATGTCAAAGTCCTCTGTGCCTCTGCCTAGCTCACAGTCCCTGCCTTTCTCCCCCAACCTCTGAGAAAGTGAAAACTGCCCCTGACAGTTTGGAGCTGGCTTTTGCTATTGGGCAGGCTTTGGGGTTGCCAGGTGTTGGCCTGGCACTCACAGGTAGACTGTGGTGTTCTGCTGAACACAAACCATTTCACAGAAAATCGTCAGACAGGTCACTCTACGACTATGACGGTTCAAGACCAAGACAAGGCCACTCTGGAATAACGTCTGAGCACAGATGACTGTCCAAACGCCAAAAGATGACCAAACATCCCCCTTCCCTGGCTAATGTGAGTGGCTGTTGCATCTTTATCCATTACAGCGTTAGTACCTCTTTGTCCCTTCTGTCTTCTAGAGACAAATTATTAAGATACCCAATTACAGGCCGGGTGTGGTGGCTCACACTGTAATCCCAGGACTTTGGGAGGCCATGGCGGGCAGATCACTTGAGGCCAGGAGTTCGAGACCAGCCTGGCCAACATGGCGAAACCCTGTCTCTAATAAAAACAGAAAAAATTAGTCGGGCATGGTGGTGCATGCCTGTAGTCCCAGCTGTTTGGGAGGCTGAGGCATAAGAATCACTTGAACCTGGGAGGTGGAGGTTGCAGTGAGCCGAGATCATGCCACTGCACTCCAACCTGGGCAACAGAACTAGACCCTGTCTCGAAAAACAAAAAAAGATACCCAATTACAGAAATAGCCCTGCTTCCTAACAGGATTCAATCCGCAGCAAAGCCCCACTTCCTTGAATCCTCCCCCAAACCACCCAATAGAAGCCCAACTCTATAATAAGTCCTTTCCAATATCCTCTTCCTTCTTTTTAATTGTGGTAACAGATGAACATAACAGAATTTTGCCATTTTGACCCTTCTTAAGTTTACCATTCAGTGGCATTGAGTATGTCCCGTGAATGCTTTTATACTTTTCCTATACAAGTATATATCCAAAAAATAATGCATACTAGTGATCTGCATGTTTTTATACTACAAAAAAATGGTATACTGGCTGGGTGCGGTAGCTCATGCCTCCTGTAATCTGAGCACTTTGGGAGGCTGAGGTGGGAAGATACCTTGAGCCCAGCAGTTCAGGACCAGCCTGGGCAACACAGCAAGACCTCATCTCTACAAAAAAAATTAAAAAGTATTAGCCAGGCATGGTGATGTGTGCCTGTTGTCCCAGACACTCAGAAGGCTGAGGTGGGAGGATTACTTTGAGCCTGAAAGGTGGAGGCTGTAGTGAGCTGTGACTGGGCCACTGCACTCCAGCCTGGGTGACAGAGTAAAACCCTGTATCAAAAAAAAAAAAAAAAAAAAAAAAAGTATCATAGCAGTAAATTCTTCTGCATCTTACTTTTTTCTATATAACATGTTCTAGCATTTAAAAAACTATTAAAGTAATATATACTCATTATAAAAAACAATAAAATAGAATAAAAGTATATAAATAGTGAAAGTCCTTCTGTTTGTTCCCCTCTCACAACCTCTCTCCCAGAACAGTCCCAGGTGTAACCTTTCAGACTATTCTACATATACCTGAACACATACATATGCACATCCTTATCCAGATAGATTCAGGCTTTTGTCATTTAATATCTCGAGTGTTTTTCATTTCACATAACATTTTTGTAATGTATACTGAGATCTGTCACATATTTTATATATATATTTTTTTTTTCTGAGACTTTTTTTTTTTTTTTTCCCTGAGACAGCATCTCGCTCTGTCACCCAGGCTGGAGTGCAGTGGCATGATCTTGGCTCACTGCAACCTCTGCCTCCCAAGTTTAAGCAATTCTCCTGCCTCAGCCTCCCAAGTAGCTGCTGGGGTTACAGGCATGCACCATCATACTCAGCTAATTTTTGTATTTTTAGTACAGATGGGGTTTCACCATATTGGCCAGATTGGTCTCAAATTCCTGGCCTCCCGACAGGGCCTCCCAAAGTGACGGGATTACCGGCATGAGCCACTGTGCCTGGTCACATATTATACTTTTAAGTGGCTGCAAAGAATTTGGAAGAACTTTAAAATGGTGTATGCTGTGAATATTTCTCTGTGTTTTTCACCTGTCCCCACCCTACCTTTGTCTCCCGTTTTGGTGTAAATCTTGGGGATCCTGGGTGTCTTCGAGGAAGGCTGTGGCCTAATGAGAAATAAACATCAGTATCTGGTGAGTGGGGATGGTTTACACAGAGGGTCAGCTCCTTCAGTAGGTCCCAGCTTGCTGCTTGTAACCTCAGAGGCAGCACTTACCCCTTACTGCTTAGATGGTCATCTCTTATTGATTTCTTTCCCCTAGATCCCTTCTAATAGCAAACATTTTGTGGGCAAGACCAGAGCTGGGTGACAGTGTGTACAGTAGCTGACATAACGCCTTGCTCAACATGGGCTCAATACCTATTTGCTGAAGGACTTGATTGATCCTTTGCCATTGTCCCTGCACTGTGCCAAGTAGTTTACAGGCATTACCGTCTGGAATTATCCTGGAATCTTTCCACAACCCCAAAGGTAGGCACCACCTATTCTCTTCATTTTCCTGAGGAGGAAACTGTAGATCAGATGAGACTCACTTTCCTAGATCATCCAGGAAGAGGCAGGAGTGGGATGCTCAAAACTGTCCTAGACCAGAGCACAAACTGTAACTTCTATCCTGCTGAAATTCTTTCTTTATTATTATTATTATTATTATTTTGAGATGGGGTCTCGCTCTGTCGCCCAGGCTGGAGTGCAGTGGCATGATCTAGGTTCACTGCAACCTCTGCCTCCCGGGCTCAAGCAATCCTCCCATCTCAGCCTCCCCAGTAGCTGGAACCACAAGTGTATACCACCACACTCGGCTAATTTTTTTTTTTTTTTTTTTTTGGTAGAGACGGGTTCACCATGTTGCCTAGGCTGGTTTTGAACTCCTGAGTTCAAGCAATACGGCTACCTCAACCTCCCAAAGTGTTGTGATTACAGGTGTGAGCCACCATACCTGGCCTATGATTATTTTGTTCACAGACAGGGTCTTGCTCTGTTGCCTAAGCTGGAATGCAGTGCAGTGGCATGATCATAGCTCACTGCAGTCTTGAACTCCTGGGCTCAAGGGATCCTCCTGCCTCAGCCTCCCAAGTAGCTAGGACTCTTAACTCTATCCTACCCAAATTCTTACCTTACACTCCACCAACTTAGGGCCTCTTGCAGGAAAAGAAGCCTGAGCCACTTCCATACTATGAGGCTTCGAGTGTACTCAGAGATGAAGAATTGCCAAAATACAGCTCAAAAAGTGGCATTTTCAAATAACAATGTAAACAACTCAATGACATAGCTCAAAATTAAAATGTGACACTACAAGGCCATTCGAAGGTTAATTTCCTGGATCTGTGAACTAAATTAATCCATTATTAATCCAAGGTACTCTAGAGGTTCTGAGGTCTGGGTTGGGTGCAAGTTTCAAGGTGTATGAGGAAAGCCATCTTTAGAAGGTGCTGGTGTATCTGGGACCTGGGGGATAAACTGCTATGGAAATTGGTCACAATCTGAGTCGAGAGCCCTGCTGGCCCACAAGGGATATGCCATGCCCTGCCCGATGACAGCTGGGTTTCACTGGGACTTAGGCAAAGACTACCTGGTCTCTGGCGCCCACGTGGTCCACGTTGCCACGGTGACGTCAGGACAGCGTGGAGACGTCACCGGACGGGTGCCGCCGTGACCTCACGACGGTGTGACGTACCCATGACGACGACACCACGATTCAAAGCAGGTGTTCGAGTTACCCTTCCTGCCAGCCACTCACCTGTCCCCGTCTTCCACGCCCTGAGGGCTGCAGCTCTGGAAACGGGGATACAGGAGCCTGGCGGCGCCGAAGCATCCGCGCAGGCCAAGACGACTCCCCAGGCCCCACACAGCCATCAGCCAGGCTTCTTGATGGGAGCTGACCCCGCCAGGTTCCCGTCCAGGCCCCGGAGTGACTCCACCCACAGCTGGCCGCGCCACCGCTCAGCTGTCAATTTTCATTGGCTCGAGGTTCTCGCCCCAGGGCGGGACACTCCCAGGGACTTGTTTCCCATTGGTTTGACGGAAGAAGCGGGGCGGGAAAACCCGTGCCGGCTTGGCTGCATCACCACCAATGTTCAAGCCTATTGGTAAAAGTACGCCAGACTTGCGCGCTCTGATTGGCTGGGCTGAAGGCCAAGGCCTCCTCCCCTTGAGGCACGGGCGCTCTAGGCTGCAGGAGTCCGGGAGCTGCTCCGGCTCCGGCGCGGAGTGGCGGCAGCCGGGGCGTGGGCGGCGGCGGCGGCGGCGGCGACAGGTGAGAGGCCGGGGTCGCGGGGCCGGGTGGCGCGAGGTCCTAGACCCAGGACGGCCTTGAGCCGGGCGCCCAGTTTCTGTGGCTCAGTTTCTCCAGCTCTGAGAGTCAGCCCCGAGGGGTCGGCGACCTCAATCTGACAGTCGTGATTTTGAGCTTGGGACAAGCAAGGGGAATCCCCGCTTTGAGCCTCAGTTTTTCTAAGAAGTGGGGATCACGATAGTACTTAACTCGTAGTGCACTTGAATCTTAGTGTAAGGTAATCGACGTAAAACCTTAAGCGGGGAATAATTTTGCGTTATTTATAAAAGTGTAAATTGCACACACCTGTAGACCCTGCAAGCCCCTTTCTAGGACTCTGTCCTGCAGAAATACTCATTTAAGTGTGCAGAACGAGGCGTACTGGGTGTTTTCTGTGGCCTTGTTTATAATCGTGACACGTTGGAAACAGCCTAAATGTCCAGCAAAGAGTTCTTTCTGCTCCATGATTTCATGTAATTTCTACTTTCAGTAGTAGTAGTTGTAAAAGCTGAAACGAAGAACAGAGCCAGTAATAAGTAGCTCTCAGTAATTGAATGATTAGTAGGTGCCAGACACTGCTAAGTGTTTCCCTTGAGTTAATTTAACCTTCCTAACATCCACTGAGGTGCGTACGGTTATTTTCTGTCCATATAACGTGGTGGGAAACCGATGTTCATAGCCGTTTAAGTGAGTTAGCTAAGACGACATCACTGGGGAGTGGAATAGCTGGGATTTGAACCCAGATCTGTTGGATGTGTCCAGTTGATTGCTGCATTGCCTTTCTGGCACATAGCAAGTGCTGGACGGTGTCTACCTTTTTTGTTATTATGATGGGCTTGAACTAGGTGTTCTAAGATCTCTTCCTGATGGTTCTGACATCTGGAGATCTTTGCTTTTCTCACTGGCTTTCCCTTTTAGGATTCCCAGGAGCCATGTTGTCAGAAGTCCTACTGGTGTCTGCTCCGGGGAAAGTCATCCTTCATGGAGAACATGCCGTGGTACATGGCAAGGTACAAAGCCGTTAGAGCCTTTAAGGATTGGGTACCCCTTCTCCCTGATACTAATTTTGCAGGACACCTGAAGCACAGCTTGGGAGCAGATCAGAGATGTCAGTTTCTCCCCAGCCAGGCAAGGAAAAGGTATCTTATGCCCACTGAAGGGATTCTCAGGCCTCACTCGGTATGATAGCAAAAAGATGGGATATAAAGCCCTATGAGTGGAATGAGATCACCTAGGAGTGAGCTTTGATGCAGAAGGAAGAGGTTTGAGAACTGAGCTCCGGGGCACTAAGACATGGAGAAGTTGGAAGGATGATCTAGCAAAGGAGTCGGAAACATCCATTACCTCATTTTACCCTTACCCCGAAGGCATACCCTTTTATTACCCTGTTTTACAAATGTGCAAACCGAGGCTTAGGAGAGAAGTGGTAACTTGATCCAAGTCCTATATACCTTGGTAGAGCTTGGTGTGAACCTAAGTCTGTCTTAGGTTCTACTCCTGCTGCACTCTGCTTTTTTTTTTTTTTTCCTGAGATCGCTGGAGCGCAATCTTGTGATCACGGCTTACTGCAGCCTCCAACCTCAGCCTCCCGAGTAGCTGGGACCACAGGTGTGTACCACCACACGCCACTAATTTTTTCTTTTATTTTTTTTGTAAAGACGTGGTTTGACACCAGGCTGGTCTCAAACTCCTGGGCTCAAGTGATCCTCCTGCTTTGGCCTCCCAAACTGCTGGGATTACAGATGTGAGCCACTACACCTGGCCTCTCACTGCTATTCTTTATGTTCTTATATTTCTCATTGAAAACATGGTGATTATGGGGAAGTGATTCCTTGGTGTTGAGAACCTGTGAAATTTTTCAGGAAGAAGGCAAAGTGGATGTTAACTTTTAGTTGATCGATGGTGGCTGTCCCCAGGCTTAGTGGGAGAGCATGCCAAAGTTGGTTAGCAGTGTCTGGCAAGGGCATGGCTGGGAGTGACCTTTGTGCTCATGTTTGCTCTCTTGTTAGCATGTGGGCCCTGGCTCCTTTGCCACTCACCCTCAGGCTTATTGCTTTTGTCCTTTATTCTACAGGTAGCACTGGCTGTAGCCTTGAACTTGAGAACATTTCTCCGGCTTCAACCCCACAGCAATGGGAAAGTGGACCTCAGCTTACCCAACATTGGTATCAAGTGGGCCTGGGATGTGGCCAGGCTTCAGCTACTGGACACAAGCTTTCTGGGTGAGTGCAAGGAGGAGAAATCGTAAGAGCCTTACCAGAGGTGGTGAGAGCCTACAGAGAGGGCAGCTGGCCAGGTATTCCAGGCTGTCCCCCGCCAAGGGAGCCAGGGGCCAGCTATTGCCAGCGTGTTTTCTACCCTGACCTTATAAAAGTAGCTTCACTTATTTATTTTGTTTAATTTAAAAGTGTAAAACAATGCATTGGATCTGTGTGGGCCGTTGTGGACAGATCATCAAGGCCTATTGTTGAGTGAAAAAAAAATGCAAAACAGCAAACATAGGTATTTAAGTATAAATATGTGTATAAATGATAGAAAAGATCTCGGGGACATAGACATCAGATTGGCTGTGGCAATTAGTTCTCCTGGGAGAGACCTGGGGCCAGAGAGTAGACAAAGGGACACATGTTTTAAATGAGGAGAATATATTGGCATTTCGTATAATTAAAAATTAATAAAAGTAGGCTGGGCACAGTGGCTCATGCCTGTAATTCCAGCACCTTGGGAGGCCAAGGCGGGCAGATTACCTAAGGTCAGGAGTTCGAGACCAGCCTGGCCAACATGGTGAAACCCTGTCTCTACTAAAAATACAAAAATTAGCTGGGTGTGGTGGCACACGCCTGTAATCCCAGCTACTCAGGAGGCTGAGGTAGGAGAATCGCTTGAACTTGGGAGGCGGAGGTTGCAGTGAGCCGAGATCGTCCATTGCACTCCATCTCAAAAAAAAAATTAATAAAAGTAAAAGTTACCTATGCTTATTATTGGAAGATATGGTCAATGCTGGGACGTTGTATTTTTTTTTTTTTTTTTGAGACGGAGTCTCACTCTGTCCTTCAGGCTGGAGTGCAGTGGCGCGATCTCAGCTCACTGCAAGCTCCGCCTTCCGGGTTCACACCATTCTGCTGCCTCAGCCTCCCGAGTAGCTGGGACTACAGGCGCCCACCACCACGCCCGGCTAATTTTTTGTATTTTTGTAGAGACGGGGTTTCACCATGTTAGCCAGGATGGTCTCGATCTCCTGACATCGTGATCCGCCCGCCTTGGCCTTGCAAAGTGCTGGGATTACAGGCGCGAGCCACCGCACCCGGCGGGACATTGTAATTTTAAAAATCACTTATTATTCCCCTTCTCCTTTCTCTGACCCCGGTAATGACTGCAAGCATTTTGGCATTAATCCTTCTGGGTGATTTTCTGTAGATGGATAGAAAGATTGATAGAGACAGGGAGATATCTTGGTTTTTTAACCAAAATTGGGTCAGGCCATATAAACCATTCAAAAATACCTGTTTTTTCTTTTGTGTGTCAGGTGTGTGTGCTGATTTTTGGCAGCACTGTGAAGATTTCATCCACTCATAAGCAGGCCAGCTTTTTCCATCAGTGGAGTCCCCCGCACCTGCCCCAGAGCTGACGTGTGTTTTCTGTTCTCAATTTACTGTCTGCTCCCTGGGCTGAAGCCTTGCTTTTTGGAATAGTGTTTCTCAGCCAGGGTGGAATAAATGAGAATCTTTTTGGGTTTTTTTCTTAGACTGCACCTGAACCATTGATACCTGCTTCCCGTTCCCCGTGAGAAACTACAGTCACTCCCATATGCCATATGGGGATGGAAGAAGAGCTGAAAATTCTCATTTCACTTGCTGTTGAGACAGGGTCTTGCTGTGTTGCCCAGGCTGGTCTGGAACTCCTGGCCTCAGGAGTTTTCCCACTTTCCCAAAGTGCTGGGGTTACAGGTGAGAGCCACTGTGCCTGGCCAAAATCCTCATTTTAGAACAACACTTTTTTTTTTTTTCTTTTTTTTTGAGACGGAGTCTCGCTCTGTCACCCAGGCTGGAGTGCAGTGGCGCGATCTCGGCTCACTGCAAGCTCCACCGCCTCCCGGGTTCACGCCATTCTCCTGCCTCAGCCTCCCGAGAAACTGGGACTACAGGCGCCCGCCACCACACCTGGCTAATTTTTTTTCGTATTTTTAGTAGAGATGGGGTTTCACCGTGTTCGCCAGGATGGTCTCGATCTCCTGACCTCTTGATCCGCCCGCCTCGGCCTCCCAAAGTGCTGGGATTACAGGTGTGAGCCACTGTGCCCGGCGTAGAGCAGCACTTTTTAACCTCATCATATCTTGGAATCACCCAGGAGTTTTTGTGATTGTGGATGTTGTTTTTGTTTTTACCAATACAGATGGACTTCTGGCTCTGCCCCTGTCTTATTGGGAGTTGGTAGTGGTGGTAGGAGTTTTTTAAGGGTTTCCCTGGACGATTCTGGGGACGCCTCAGTTAAGAGGCACTCCTTTGGAGCGTGCGTCTGGAGCGTTCCAGCCAGAACACATGGAACTTGCTTTCCATAGTGCACAGGGCCGCCCAGCCAGACCAGAAATGTCCCGTGAGAACCAGCTGCAACTTGTGTGTGTCAGTAGCTTGGGGTGGAAGCAGCCAGGTGTGGGGGACCATGTCTCGGACCACTCCG